TGAAACATAAACATTGATGTTTTTTGGATTCTTCTATTTGCAAGAGTTTCAGGGCTTCTATCTCTGTATCATTCAATACTTTACTGCCAATGGTAAGAGATTAGAGGTGGTCCCTAAATTGGCATTCTAAATTATCGAATTAGTTTACTGTTTGCATCGTAAAAAAGGCCAGCCTGGTATAAACAGTTTGTCCGGTCTCATCCTAATCTTGAACTTTTGCAGACTTAAAATCGAACTCAGTCTATTCTTTGAAAAAGCCACCCCATACCACAAAATGTTTTTTTCTGGGGTAAACAAAAGCACTGCTATTCTGGGAGTCGAGATTTTCATTCCAGCGACTCTCGCATGTGAAACGCGTTTCAGACAAAGCAGATTTTTACAACATTTGAAGCACTGTGCCCGAAGCTCTCTTTCAGATAGATTATACCGCAACTTAACCCCCATTTTTAGTGACAATGTTAATTTTGCGTTCGCTTTTAGCAATTTTGAAGTGGGGGGATCTGGAGCTGAAAAGTAATCTCAGCTGAGGACATTGGTTCACCAAGACATTAAATCGCCATTTTGTCAGCAATTTATTAAAAACGGGACGATCGACTTCATGATTAAATCACTGACAGTACCAATGTCACCTTTCTCTCAAGTGCATTCAAAAAAAGTATCTCACACAAGTAATCTCTCTTTATTCCCTCCCATCTCCAAGCGATAGTGCAACTTTAAATATCATTTGGAATCAGACTTTGTGCACAGCGTAGAGGCATCTCAGCTCAGTGGTTATGGCGTGCTGGGTCATATAAACTACTGACCCTGAGTCAGTGGGTTCCAAACCAGGTGGAGGTCGCAACTGCACGATAGGGGTCGGAACAGACTCAGGGATGCCCAACATACTTTTTTGTTGAAAAGCATTTTTCATTTTCAAGAGTTGGCATTGTGTGTGTGGTTTTCTATTTTCAAGATACGTTACAGTGTATATAAAACAGTTCAAATGACGTTGATGAGATATCTGGAATTTCTGCATTCTTGATACTGACGAGTTGTATGCAATAATAAAGTAGCTCTGCAAAACTGATTTTTTGTTGTGTTTCCTACATTGAAACCCGTTCAATGCGCTGTTTTATTGCGATTGTTCGCCATTGCGAACAAGAGAACCATTGAAAAGTACAGAGTCGAAAGGTAATAGAGAAGTGCATGCGGTACAGTCATTTCTGTTTAAATTGCGAAGAGTGAGTGGCATCATTTAGGAGTAGTATACCTGTATCGACGGTGGACCTCTGAGGTAAAATACAATGCTCGCTTTCTATCGCGAGACGTTAATGTATCAATGGAGTTCTTCTATCTTTTTCCATAGATATAGTATGGAAACTTATATTAAACTGCATACTCATTCATCTAACTTCGAAAGTTATCTTCACTGTCTTGTGTATGGTGTTTGCCAGGTAAACGCAGTTGACAAAAGTTCAAGACAGCATTCTGTCTAGAAATCTTGTTAAACGAGAAGGGAGTTGGGGAGCCGGAGCAGAATGGCGAGAAGAAGTTTGTCAGGGAGGTCGAACAGCTTGGTGTGTTTCATGCTGCGTAAGTGCCAGGTGTCTATGTAGAGTTCATCTTTCCTTCCAGACAAATCGTTTGTATCAAGATTCATTACATCTCATTGACTTCGTTTGAACCGTTCTAAGCATACCATACTATACCAACTCATGAGAAGACAGAACCGCAGGAAAAGAAAATGGGTTTAAACAAAAAAATATGGTGGGCATCCCTGAATCGCCCGATTCTAACCTGCGGTTGCGACCCGCCGCCTAGAATCGAACCCACTGACTCAGGGTCAGCGGTTTATATGACCCAGCACGCCATAACCACTGAGCTAAGATGCCTCTACGCTGTGGACAAAGTCTGGTTCCGAATGATATTTAAAGTCGCACTATCGCTTGGAGATGGGGGGGAATAAAGAGAGATTACTTGTGCGGGATACTTTTTTGCAATGCATTTGAGAATCATTTGAGAGAAAGGTGACATCGGTACTGTCTGCAATTTAATCATGAGGTTATATCACCGTAGTGATAAATATACTGACAAAATGGCGATCTTTAGTTATTGTCTTGGTGACCAATGATCTCAGTTTTGATCACTTCTTCAATCATCTTTTTCTCCAAATAAATTTGATCATCAATGGAAAGAGATACTCGCAACCGGAAATTGGGTTTCGCTGGGTTATTCGGGACACCTTTGTTTCTTTGATATATTCGAAAACAAACGCGACGTTTAGAAACAAAGCTCAAAATTTGAAATTTATTGAGTTCTTTGGCTTTCAAGACGTTCAGAGCTTCTTTCCCGCGGCTCTCCAAAATTTTGGTTGCCAAAGGAAATAGTTTCGAAGTCGACCTCAAATCGATAATTTAAAATAGCGAATTAGGTTACATACTTTTCCCGCAACACGCCGGCCCCAAAAGAGGAAAAACAAATGTCCACTAGACACTTCTTGGTCCGCAGCCATCCCTTCTTTGACACGTTTCAAAGTAAAAATCAGGCCGGGAAATATATTGGAAAAGCCATGCTGATGCCGCAGATGTTTTACTCACGAATGAAAAAGAGCACTGCACTTCTCAGAGTTGAGATTCGTGTTCATCCTGTTGCATGAGAAAAGTTTCACTTTATTGCAGGCAAAGTAGATATCCGTAAGGATATCGTAGGGATTTGTTTCAAACAAGAAAGGTACAGAGACTGGAAAGCTTTCAAGGTTTGAAGGGTGTTCCTGGGCAGTCTGAAAACGGTGGCAAACTCTGTCAAAGACCTTGGATCCGGATTAAGATTATCTTTATAAGCAACAGCCCTGCGCTTTCCTGTTTCAGATCACAGCAAGCCCGATATTGTAGAAGGATGAAAACGCTAAGCGCAGACATCGACGACACTTCCAGTATAGGGAGCTTGTCATACTTTCAAATGTGCTCTTGACATGCACTAGAACCGCCAAATGGGACTTATTCGTCACAATGTATGGCATGGACTGCTTGCATGAATACAGGATGCCATAGGCATGCATGAGTGGAAGAATGAGGTGCATAGCCATGTTGCGACACAACATGGCAATTTTACCTCATTCTTCTAGGACACCGCAATGTGGCAGAAATTTCTGGGTGAGAAAGTGTGTCACAGTGGCTCAAAACCGAATATTCCTCAACGGTTCGAAGTGACAGCCTCTCGTCTGTAGATTTTGCTTGCAACACAGTTTTAGCAAATCGCTTCAACGCTGACTAGAGAGCGATACGTTTTTTGAGTTTGCCTTGGCCACGAGCATGCCAACGGCGAGATATATGGCTTGCACGGAGCAACAGCACAACAACAGGGACAGAAAAAGGTGTAATAAGAGTTTCATTTATGACACGAACGAGTGCGGGAATGACGTTTCGAAGTACTGCAAATTCATTCGTCGACAAAGAATACATGTGGGCTCATCTCTCGGCGCCCATTGGACGTGCCCGCACGCCGTGAAAAGCTTCCCTTGTGCATCATATACCTGTGGTACTGTACGCGTAAAGTGGCAAATTGCGGGGCGCAGGTGTAAGCCCCGGTAGGATTGGAATCTCGCCCGCAACTGTGACGTCTCGAGTGGCTTTGCCCAGCGCTACATCCGGGCCCCTCGTATCATACCATGGCCCAAAGAAAACCCGCCCCAACAAGCCGCGCCCTCGCCCCCGTTTCTTCGCGGGACGGCTCCTGGGAGGCTGGTCCCAGGACCAACCGACGAGCAGCAACTGCCTCCATCGCGCAGGGGCACTGCTGCCGGGAGGAGGCCGTGTGGTCGCTCGGCAGGCTCGTCGCCACGGACTGGAGGAGGCACAAGGGGGAGGCGAGGCACAAGGGGGAGGCACAAGGGGGAGGCACAAGACCCAGGACCCGCTTTGGACGCTGGTGCTTGCCGCCTGAGGGGAGAGCACTTCGTGCCCGACCTCGCTGCGCTTTCAGATGTCTTTTAGATATCTTTCAGATATTTCACCACGGCGTTGTTTGTGTGGCAGCCAAAAATCTCAAATTTCTACTTCATCTCGCATTCCCTTGACGCCTTCCCTTTCGCTCTCCACAACGTCCGCCCCTCGTTCCCAGCAACGCGCAGCCATGCCGTTCGCCGCGACGTTTGTCCCGTGCCTCGCGCTCCCGCCTCGCCCTTCGCGCCTGTTGCTTGGGCCTGCTCGCGCGTCCCCGCGCGCGGCGCGGCGGCGCTTGCGGCGCGCGGCGATTGCGGCGAGCGGGTCCGCCCCGGCGACGGTGCGCGTGGGGTCGATCGTGGCGGCGCAGGAGGGGGCGCTTGTCACGATAGCGCGCGTGACGGGGGTGGCGGCGTCGGGCGACACGGTGGACATCCAGCCGCTGGAGGAGTTTGTGCGCGAGCTGTACGTGCCCGGGAAGGCGCGGCCTACGTACGCGGCGGCGGCGAGCGTGCGCCCCGTGCGCGCGGAGTACGTCCCGTCGCAGGGGGGCTGGATCGTGCTCGCGCAGGACGTCGCCGCGGCGAGGACCTACTTTGAGTCGCGCCCGCTGGAGATGAGGGGCAAGGTCGTCGTCGAGGAGGCCCCGAAGAAAGTCCTCACGGAGGAGATGCTCCAGAAGCAGCGCTTTCCGAGGCCGACTAGGGCCCAGGCTTGGGTTGGCGCCGCTATCAGCGCCCCGCTTGCGGCCCTGCTTTACGCAGGGTTTGCGAGTGCTAGAGAGGCGTATCGGGCGAATCCGGCGGGGGAGGAGCTGATGAGCGGCGCGGCGTTTAGGCAGATCGTTATGTTTGTCTCGTTTGCGGGCTCGGTTGGAAGCCTGGTAATTGGCTGTTCCTTACTTCTGTATGCTTTGCAATACAAACCGGAGGAAAGCGATGGCGCCGCGGGTGGGAAGGGCTCTTGAAGCGGGAGGGCTGGAGGGGTGTCGCGCCTAGTTTGTGCAGATTCGTTAGTCGCATCGCATTGACAAAGGGTTTTATCCTTCAAGAGGTAGCCCTGGCTTCAACGGAGGCTGGCTGGCAAAAAGATTTTTTTATTGTGACGATATCCGGTCAACCATTCGAACAACATACACACTACCCAAGGGTACGTACATGGCATCTATAAAACTCATAGTTTGGCCACTGTCACAAACGTTCACTTCAGAAGGGCCCATGCCTCATCTGTTGACGAGCACTTCTGGAACGCTGCCACATCAACCTTGCAACCCTCACGCGCCACCTTCTTCATTTCTTCTGTCTCCTCGTCGGAAGCCGCTTCCATGAAGATGCCATTCACGTTACCATCGGTAACCCAGACAGCAAGCAGCTTCGGCGCAAAGTCGCCGACAACGTAGCAGTCGCCAGCCGAATCACCATAAAACTTCCAGGACAAGTCGAAGACGCGCGAGTAAAAGTAAGGCAGATAGTCGTACGGCCCGGCCGCCTTCTTCAGTATAGCGTCGACAGCATGTCTGCCTGTCTCTCTGGCGTTCTGTACGTGCTCCATGCGGGCCGGACGGTCGTTGTACATCTTGAGCGGGAACGTGGCGATATCGCCAATCGCATGCACGCCCTTCGCTGACGTCTCGAGGTTGCCGTCGACAATGATGCCGCCACGCTCATCCATGTTGAGCTTGTCCTTGAACATGTCGGTGTTGACACGAGCGCCAACTCCCACGACAACCAGGGAGCCTTCAATCTCCTCCTCATTGCCACCACCTTGGCAGGTCATGACACCGCGGATCTTGCCCTCGTCATCGCCCAAAAAGGCCTTGCACAGGCGTCCGTTTTTCACAAGCGTGGCACCCTTGTCGATGTACGCCTTCTCATAATGCTTGGCTATGTCCGCGGTGAAGAGCCTCGGCATGATATGCTCTTCCGGGAAGACCATAGTGACCTTGCAACCGACCGTGAGTGCGGCGGCCGCGACCTCCATTCCGATGTAGCCACCACCGACCACGATGACGGTCTTGCCAATGTTGGCCTGGAGCGCGTCGTACAACTCGAGGGCATCGGAGTTGTCCCTGAGGTAATGTACACCCTTGAGGTCATGACCAGGGGTCTTACTGAGCTGGATCGGGGCTGCGCCGGTGGCCAAAATCATAGCCTCACTCGCCTGCACGGTGGAGCCGTCCTCCAAGGTGGCGATCTTCTCGGCGACATCGACGGCGGAGACCTTGCTCCCCAGCATGAGCTTGACGCCCTTCTCGGCGTACCACTCCGGTGCCTGGCGGTCGCCGCCGCCGCCGACGCAGGTGTGGAAGCCCGGGAGGCGGACGGCGGCCTTCATGAGGACGGCCTTGGAGAGGGCGGGGCGCTCGTACGGCGCGACGGGCTCCTCGCCGATCAGGCAGACGTCCGACTCGCCCGAGTTGACAAACTGGGCAGCGGCGTAGCCAGCGGCGTTGCCCGCGCCCACCACGACGTACTTGTAGGTCGACATGGCAGAGGTGATGCAGGTGCGGAGCGGGCGGCGGTAGAGTGGGGGGGCGCGATAATGCGTGGGGAGAGCGCTGCGCCGAAGGAGAAGGGGTGCGCTGGAGGGGGTGCGATGGATCGGAAGCGGGTGGAGAAAGGCCAGCCACATTCTTATTGTTCGACGGTGGACGGCGGGATTAGGGCAACGGAGGCGTGTGGCGGGCTGGAAAAATTGCGGGGCTTTCCAACGGGACAATTTTGACAGGCGCTGCCTGGCGTGATCAAGGCTGGCGCTGTTGGTGCCTGGCTATCGCTACAGGAGTGCTACGGTGGCTTCTCGTTGTATTGGATGAGGAGCGCAGATGTGGTCAGGTTCCAGAAGACGCGGCTGCAATGCTGGTTTCGTAAAGAGGAAACGGGCTGAGGTCTGCCCGTTTCCCCTTTACGAAACCTGCCGTCAACGGCATCTCCCGTGCGGCTGCGTGCTTCGTGATCTCCGCAGAGGGGCTTTCAACGGATTCCTGTATGATGGATTTTCGGAAGATGTCATATTTACAAGTACAATACTGTGGCATGCAAACCAATGCGGGGTTTGACAGGTTTTTTGCGAGGTGCTCTGGAGAAATTTGAAGCCTATACTCCGTGTATTTGTCGCAAGTGAGGGCCGCGGTCGTAGAAGCATTCGGATGCAGTTTTCTGAGTGTACAAATGCTCTGGAAGCGAGTGAAAACACTAATGGCCGGCTACTCAAGCAGGCCTTCGGAGAACTGTACAGTAGTATCATCAAATATATATTTACGGTCGAGTCTCACATTCCCGACTGTTGTTTCACAGATTGAAGCCCTTCTTGTTTGAATGCTTTTGAGAAGGCTTGCGATCTCCAGAAAATTTGATTCTGGTGAGTTATTTTTCTTACGTTCTGCTGGAAACTCAATAAGGTGGTACCATCATGGTACCACCTTGTTGAGCTCTTTCGAAGGTTTCATCATTTCATCATGAAACGAGTTGAAACATCTCAACACTTGCATGGTTGCCTTTTTCTATTGTGCCTTGTCAAATACTGTATTCTTATTTGCCATTCGTTATGATAATGCAGGCTGAGCAGATGATGTCATCAGAACTGTTGACAGTTGTGTTGACATCAACAGTTCTGCTTCGATGTATGCATGAGTGGAAATGATACAACAAGAAGTATGCGTGGGACATGTGATGACTCCCGATCCTCCTCGGCTTTTAAAAGCCGAGGAGGATCGGGAGTCATCTAAAAGGTAAAAATGTAATTTAATTACCTTCCGTGCTCCTGCTCCTAACTCTACTGTAAGGTACATCGTTGTCAGTCGTGTCCACCTGTCCAGCTGGACAGGTTGCGTCATGACAGGACTTTAGAGCATCTCCACCGGGCGATCCAAACATCAAATTCAATTCAAATTTTACTGTTGGACTTCGGTGGTGTGCCTACTCAGGTTCTTCAATTTGATTTCTAATCCAAAAAAAATAAAAGGGTGAAATCCATTGTGGTGCGTGAAAGACTGCGAAAAGGCCTAATAAAAGCGTTGAGTTTGGCTTTGAGCCCGTTGCTGTCCATTTGGGTCATTGTGGTGTGTTCAGGACCACATCAGGACCAATGATAGCAACCTGGGCCGGACCGGCCGGGCCGGTCCCGGCACCAGTCAATCATGCGCCGGGGCAAAGGCCATTGTTGTCACTTCATGATTTATAATTTTCATTATTATCGCGATATTATTATTTAAGTTTAATACAGGCCAGTTTGCGCGCAGGGGGGTGGCCGATGCGTAGGTAAGCGACCGGGACGCCGGCGGCCACAGTGATCCCGCGCCGTAAGTGCGATATGGAGTGAGCGAGTTTACACGCAGTTACTGGCACTGTTGGCACCGTGACCGGGGGCGGATGCTGCTTCGTACACGTACACGCGCGCAATGCGTCCGTCTCGACGCGTGCACATCGTTGCGTCTACTTTGCAACGCGCTCTTCACCTCCGTCCCGCTCGATAAACGAGAACCCCTTTCACGCCTCCCCCTTCACGCCTCCCCCTTCACACCTCCCTGCGCCCACCCAATCTCTTCCTCGCATAGTCTGCCATGCCCACCTCCCCGTGCACGCCGCACCAGACGGCGGGCCAGTCCCTGCGCACGCTTATGCCTATAGTGGCGCCGTCCCGCACCACCTCCTCAGCGCGCACGGGCGCAGCCACTACCGTGCGCATGGGCGTAGCCACCCTGCTGATGTCGACGAACACGTTGTAGCGACGCCTGCGCTCGCGGCGTCCGCGGACGGCGCGCGTCCAGCGCCACGCCGCAGTGCCCAACAAGGCGGCCAACGCGGCCACCACAGCGCCCGCAGCCGTGCCCGCAGCCCTCGAACGAATTTCTGTCGCGTCCCGCAGGCCTCCCCACCCTCTGCCGCTTCCGTCCCGCAAAACCTCCCGCGACCATGTCCTCCCGCGACCATGTCCTACCGCACCTCGCTCGGCACGCGCAGCGAGCTGCGCAGCATGGCGGCGGTGAAGAGCGCGTTGCAAAGTAGACGCAACGATGTGCACGCGTCGAGACGGACGCATTGCGCGCGTGTACGTGTACGAAGCAGCATCCGCCCCCGGTCACGGTGCCAACAGTGCCAGTAACTGCGTGTAAACTCGCTCACTCCATATCGCACTTACAGCGCGGGATCACTGTGGCCGCCGGCGTCCCGGTCGCTTACCTACGCATCGGCCACCCCCCTGCGCGCAAACTGGCCTGTATTAAACTTAAATAATAATATCGCGATAATAATGAAAATTATAAATCATGAAGTGACAACAATGGCCTTTGCCCCGGCGCATGATTGACTGGTGCCGGGACCGGCCCGGCCGGTCCGGCCCAGGTTGCTATTATTGGTCCTGATGTGGTCCTGAACACACCACAATGACCCAAATGGACAGCAACGGGCTCAAAGCCAAACTCAACGCTTTTATTAGGCCTTTTCGCAGTCTTTCACGCACCACAATGTATTTCACCCAAATAAAATGAATTGCAACCCAGTGAACCGAGATCCATATCCGTGAGTTTTGGATCGCACCAGGGGTGCAATCCAACACCAGGCTCGAAACCGCGCGCATTGCTTCACATCACCTTTGCATCGTTCCCTTCAACTTTTCCCGCCACCTCTTTTGGCGCCACTTCTCCGACACCACTGTATCCCCTATGCCTTCTTATTTCCGATGTCCTCTCCATGTCTCGAGTGCGCAAGTGACACAATCGTCACGAGAGTTCCACAAAGGCGCAATTTCACATTGCACATCAATATGGGATCTGGAAAAGGTTGGTCCATATTCGAGACAGTCGCGGCATGTAAGGCTTTTGTGGTCGCATCAGAAGACCAGAAGAGCGGAGCGGGTAAGAAGAAGGAACAGTTTCAAGCGGAGATACTGGCTGCATTCAACATCATGATCGAGGAAAAAAAGAGAAAGCACCACATTCAGCCCGCCACCTCGCACGGGTAGTGCTGTCTTGCAGCGCTACAAAAAAGCCCGTGCAGACTGTATCAAGTTTGATGGTATCGAAATGAGAATGCGTGCCAAAAATCCGACGGGGGCTCCCACAGAAGAAGATTTTATTCGCGCGGCGACGGCAGTATACAACTCCGAAGCGAACATCAGCAATATGTATACCTACTTCACAGACCGCGACATAGATGTGGGTGCCAAGTTTGAGTTCGTCGATGCGCTTTTATTTCTTTGTACAACCCGGCAGTGGGATCTTGTTTTACAATCGAAGTCGAAGAAGCCAGCACAAAGCGTGACCAACTGTGGTGTTCCTGGTGTTGCTCAAAGGGGCTCGTTCAGTGCTGCCACGAGTGCAGGTGGTGGCGCTGCCTCGGAGGAAGTTAGTAGTCTGGAAATGGTTCCCTCTTTAACACCAGAGAAGCTCGTCAGAACGGGGAGCAAGCGAGCCCACACGCTGTCGAGCCAAGCTCATGCATTACATCGCGGGGCCGATGGCATTGAGGACCTGGCAAGAGCAGCGAAGCGCCGCAATGAAATTGCGGAGAAGTTGTTTGGATGTTGAGAAGCAAAAGGCTGTGTACGATCTGTTCCGGTTGCCGGGAACGAACAGTAATCTTCGCAATCTGTACCTACGAGTGGCGCACCATGAAGCGCTTCAACAATTGGAAAAAATTGTGCGGTCCCGTTGAGGAGAGAAATGTGGCTGACGACGATGCAGGTATGGGGCCGAATTCTTCATCCTTCCAGCACCCGGATGATGGAGCTCCGCCTGGTTCTTTGACAGTTGGTACTTCAGCTTTCTTCGGCAGGACATCTACTGTAACGGGGGCGATGAATCCGTTGAGTACGTTGGCTAGTGCAGTAGATATCGTCCAGGTTACGCCAGCTTCCGAAGAGTGAAGCAGTTTGTTTCCAAGCGAGCATTGCGTCTCCCAGTTTTACTTGCTTTAAACTACAAAATCGCTTAGTCTAATGGGTCACTGCCTCCGTCTCAACCTCTTTTCCCCCTCTGTCCTCAGTCCTCCCTTCTCTTTCCTCCCTCTATTTTTCTTCTTTTCGTATGCGGAGGAGGCCCGCGTGCGCCGAGGGCTTCAACCGTCGGCTTCTTGTGAACAGGATCCTCAAACGCCTCAGCCTTTTTCTTTGTATCATGTCAAATACGCACATTTGAACTGCCTGAATCTCCCTCTGCTTGACACAAAATACTTGAACAACCCCCTCGCTTGCCATTTAATCCCCGCCTGACATACTCCGCTTTGTCTCTGTAGGAGGACTCACGCCCACTTGATCACCAACAACGCAACAACCACACCGTCCGGCAAGAAAGAGCCCGACCCTGTCCCTATCCCAGTCCTAGTCCAACCCGCCCGTCCCTGCGAGTGCTACTGCCGTCCTGGTTCGCGTCGCGTGTGCGGTTGCCGGCGCCGGTTGCGCAGTCGGGGCCGATGTGGCTCCCGCCATCACTCCACGCGCCGCCGCTTGTGCTGCCACCTTCTACGGCGATCGCCGCGGTGTCGGATTCGTCGCTGTTGCACGCAGGCCGCGGGCCGCGTGCAGGTAAACAGAAGTCGGGGTTGAGGTGAGTGGGGAGTAGCTCGAAGGCGGGAGGAAGGGGGATCACAGGGGGAAGGGGCAGGTTGCTAGTACGAAAAGGTTTGAGGGTATTG